ACAACCCATGTAATTTAAATTGAGTAAATGTTAATAAGGATAGACATTCACAAAAAAGGGCTCCTTTAGGAGCCACAAACTCATAAAAGTTCAGCAACAGATGAACGTAACTTCTCTTTTACATAAACTAAGACTGGGGGCTAATCGTCCAAAGACTGGGGGCTAATTGTCCAGAGACTGGGGGCTAATCGTCTGGGGCTAATTGTCCAGGGGGCGAGTTGTCTGACATTCTCTAGAACATTCTTGAAGGTCACACTACAATCAACACGTTTATGTTAAATCAAAAGATACCTCCATACTATTAGGAAACTTTCCGGACGATAAATGTACTTTAACTGTTTCCCTCTGAGCGTGAATTGATTTAAGAGCTTTTAGGACCAGGTCCCAAACATAGCCAGGTCAGTACGGGTTGATAATTTTTTTCCTTGACCATTTCATTTCCCCTGATTTGCATTTCTCAAGCCGTTTGTCATTTTTTTGTGAATATTTAATTATCTTAGTGCAACGCGGCAAAAATAGATGAGGTGACTAATTGTTTAAAAACCTAGAAGTTCGTTACGCAACTTACATTTCAAAAGTGTCACCACAGATCGCACTTCGAAGCTTACTAGCCGCATATGGAACACAAATTGTAAGTATAATATTTTTCCCGTCGCTTCAACCGAAATCGACATGTGTAATAACCTTCTTTGTCATATTAATTTAATTTTTCAGTTGACTATACTACTACAAGAGCAAATAAATTCCATGTACGGTCATGTACGCAAAAATCAGTTAGTGGTGAAATCTTCAACATAAAGTAGCCCTTCAATCACAGGAGCGAATCAGTCAAAATTTGTTACAGAAGATTACGCCGAGTTACTAACTACCGCCAAGCTTCGCATTTAAATTCCGCTCACAATGCCGCCGAAGGTAGACGTGAAAACTCTCGCGGGAAAACTGGACAATGCCGTCAAACTCTTATACGAATTAATGGAAGAATTTGAAACAATTTTCTCCGTAAGACCGGAACTAAAAACACTTGAAGCAGCATTCAGTTTAGTAGAAACCAAGTACAGGCTGGTCAAGAAACAGCAGGAAACAATTCTGGATAGACTGGTCGACGAGGGCACTGGCCCAGAAGACGAACTCGTGTTAGCAACAAAGAAAGCTGGAGACAAAACCAAAGCTGATTTCCTTCAAATCACTTTAAAGTTTGCTGCATATCAAAAGGAACAAAACTCCTCAAAAAATTCTAACAATGCGACAACTCTGGAAGCGCTAACATTATCAATGTCGTCCATGACGTCGGCGGTGCAGAAAATGGCCGATAACATCGGATCAAAACCGTCAAACTCAAGTTTACAACGATTACCTGTACCAGTATGGGACGGAACTCGCAGAACCTATGCCAAGGAGTTCAGCCATTGAATGAAGAAATACGGTCAGGATAAAGATGAACAATTGCAAAGTTTTCGAAATGCAATGCCAAAAGGATCGTTCTGGACCGACCAAGTAAAAACTTGTAAAACCATTGACAGCGCGTGGATCATTTTGGATACAGAGTTCGCAGACAGACGAAAACTAATGGACGAACTGCACGCCGAGATTAATAATCTTAAAGCAGTCAAACGAGATTCTAAGTCCCTAACGCATTTCGCTACGACAATAGCCTGTTATGTAAGTGACATGGAAGATAATGTTGGGTGTCCTGTGCTGGAGTCAGTTGAAGCGCCGTTCCTCATGTCCCAGCTTCTGTCCAAACTCGATCCAAGTGACAATTCAGATTTTAGTAGAGAAATGAAAAGAGAAGGAAATGAAGAAACCGTGAGCAATCTAATCACCTGGTTACATCAAGAAGCGAGTATTCGTTCCCGAGGGAAAGCGAACACCAACACAGTGGAAAGAAACGAAATTCGCCGAGACAAAAGTCCCAAAAAGACAGAAAATAACGCCGCTAACAGCGAGGATTCTGACGATGGAACATGTCCTCTTGGCTGTAAGACCAAACATCACCTGGCTGCATGTCCTAAGTTTCAGATTCTAACAGTCAATCAAAGGTGGGAGGTTGTAAAGCAACATTGGCGATGTTGCAGGTGTCTGAGAGCGCATCACACAAACGATTGCAAGAAACCAGACGGCTCAACCTGCGACAAATGCAGAAAAAACCATCACCGGTGCCTACATAATGAGAAGACTGGAGAAACTAACACAAGTTTGAATCCCAAAGCACCACCGTTTCCAAGTCAGTTCCAAGGGCCCACACCTACATCGAATGGTAACATCCAGGGGAATGCTGTGTACCAGAAAAGCAAGTTGAAACCTGTTACTGGACTTTGCCCTGTGCAAAAAGTTAAAGTCATGGACAAAAATGGAAACTTTGTCGAAGTTCTCGCCATGTTGGACTCCGGGTCTAACACAAGCCTACTCTCCAAAAGTGCAGCTGGTCGACTTGGCTTAAATGGAGCAGCAACACGTCTCACTATGAATCTGGCGGGTGGAAAGAAGAAAAGCGAACCTTTTGAGATAATCGATGTCACGGTTGCCCCACCTGCAAGGATTATGGAGTTCAGGTTACAGCTGGGACGACATCCTTCCCGAGAGTATTCAGCAAACATGGTTAGAGAATGCCCAGTCCATAAATGATCTCCTGTCATTTCAGTTTGACCGCAAGCTAAAACCAAACAACGCAGTGGGTGTGCCTCAAATTCACGGATTCTCCGATGGTGGTGAGCAGGCTTATGGTGCGGTCATCTTCCTACGGTGGAAACTTGCTGGCGGAAACTATCGTAGTGTTCCAGTCACGATAAAGGCTTTCGTCGCACCTCTGAAGAAGAAGAGCATCCCGAGATTAGAACTGTTGGGCTGTTTAGCACTTGCACGCATGTACGTTACATGTGTAAAAGCATTGGAGTTCGCAAAAGCCCAGGACTGGGAAAGATTCTTCTGGATCTATTCATCAACCGTTTTGTCCTGGATCAGAACGCCACCACGGGAATTCAGGCCTTTCGTATCTGCCAGAGTGGCTGAAATTCAAGAGACGATTGGGGCAGACCAAATACGCTACATCAAGTCTAACAACAACCCCGCAGATGCTCTAACGAGAGGAATCCATATTAATCATCTCATGAAGTGGTCAGAGGGACCATCCTTCCTAGAGTTGCCAGAAGAAAAGTGGCCCAGCGCTCAAGACCACACCCGAGTTAACACTCATGTGGACGATCTCGACGCTTTAAGAGAGAAGAAAACGTTCCGGAAAGAGAAGAAAGCCGGTAAACATCACAGTGCCGCCGCGGAAGTATGTCCTGAACTAGATCAACCTGGATCTGAAGAAAATCCTATCCTTTTACACTTGCTGAAAACGTGTTCTACGTACTCCAAGATACGGAGAACTCTAGCCTACGTCGGTCGCTTTATTCACAACGCTCGGAAAATGAACCCAAAGTCAGGGCCCATTTCAGTTCAGGAACTGAAGGCTGCCGAGACCCATCTTCTGAAGTGGAGTCAATTTCACGTCAACGAAGACAGCTTGGATAAGAAACTGGTAGCAAAGAAGGATGAAGATAGCCTTTTTCGTGCGCATGGTCGACTTGAAGATGTCAGATGTCTCCCGGAAGAGTTGAGAAAACCTATCATCTTGCCAAAAGACCACCCCTTTGTGATCTTGCTTCTGCGTGACCTCCACGAACGACGTGGCATTGTGGCTATAAGAGTTTAATCCACGAGGCCAGAAAAAGATTCAGATTTTAGTAGAGAAATGAAAAGAGAAGGAAATGAAGAAACCGTGAGCAATCTAATCACCTGGTTACATCAAGAAGCGAGTATTCGTTCCCGAGGGAAAGCGAACACCAACACAGTGGAAAGAAACGAAATTCGCCGAGACAAAAGTCCCAAAAAGACAGAAAATAACGCCGCTAACAGCGAGGATTCTGGCGATAAAACATGTAAAAAAGATGACGAAGAAAGATGAAATGGTATTTACAAGATGCAAAGGTATTTACCGTCACCTCAAAGTGTGTCATATGCAGAAAACTACGGAAAAGGCCTCTCAAC